AGCTCGCTGTGCTGTGTGACTGCCTGGGAGGAGGCTGCGGCCAGGCAGGGGGCGGGCTCTTCTCTCAAGGGACAGGGCGAGAGGTGACAGCTTCAGGTCGTGCCAGGGAAGGTTTAGGTTGGATATTGTGAAAAATTTCTAGATAGGTGGTCAGGCATTGGAACAGGCTGCCCAGGAAAATGGTTGAGTCACCATCCCTGGAGGTTTTTAAAAGACATGTACATGTGTAACTTGGCAGTGCAAGGTTGGTGGCTGGGCTTCATGTTTTTAAAGGTTTTTTTCCAACCAAAACGATTCTATTCTTTTTTATTTATTATTTTCCTTTTCAAGTCCTGTGTGTGCTTTCAGGCTGTGCTCTTCAGTCTCTGTGAGTGGGAAGTCAGTGGGCGGGGAAAAAAAAGGCAGCAGTTGGGTCTCTGCAGGATGCTTTCCTCTCTCACACCAAAACACTTCATGAAACCACCCTTCTTCAGTCAGCTTTCCTCAGAATGCAGAGCTGACCTGTGGCCAGTGCAGCTGCTTCACCTGCCAGAGTCTCTGATGTGGAGAGCAGTGATATCAGAAGCTGCCTGCCAGGCTGGCTCATCCACAGTGCAGATTGGTTTCCCCCACTTAAGCTCTTGCATGTTCTGTATCAGTAATACCTCTGGAAGCAGCAGTTTGAGTGTGGTACTTGCTGTCTTTAATCCAGGTTCAGGTGACTAGTACATACATTCAATTTCTGGCAGTGTTTCAGTTACCATGAGGTTATTCCAACTAAAGGAGCTTCTAGTTTACTGTGCTGTTCTCAGTTTTTAATCCAGAACTGGGAGCAATAGGAAGAGAGAGAGAGAGAGAGAGCAAAGCTGCCGCCTTAGCTGACACCATAGCAACACCAAGCTCTGGGTCTCTAGCTTGGCTTTGTACTGAAGTCCTGACTACTGGCTTGTTTGAGCTGGGGGCAGCCTCTCCTATTCGTATTTGTGTTGATGGCCTAACCACGTCCTTTCTATCAACATTCTGGCAACGTGTTGCAAGCATCTGTATTGTGTATGAATCCACTGAACAAAAGAAGTTAAACTTAGGGGGTGTTAGGCTGTGGTTTCATCATACCAAGTGTTTTGGCAACACCTAGTCTAGCTTATTGAGCCTACTTTGTCCACTTTGTGTCCCAGTGTACATCTCTGTAGTAGTACAGTTATACTGGCAGATCTGCTTGGGGATTTCTGTGGAGCGAAGTGGATGAAGAAATTTATTTGCTGTTAACAGAAACCAAAACCCACCAAAAAAAAACAACTATTGGAGGGTTCTTTATTTGTTTTTGTTACTTTAGTACTGTCATCCTGACTTACTACAGCACAACAGCTGAGTTGACCTGCTCAATAGGTGAGGCACATTGCAGCAGTGCAGAAGAGGAGGAGAACAGGTACTTTGCTGTAGCACTGTTTGTTGTACAGCAGTTCAGCTCCAGCTGGAGCTCTGTACCTGGAGGTTCTGAGTGGCATAATCATGTAGTGGGGCTGCCACAAGTGTCTTCTGTGCTGTAACACTTGCTGGGTCTTTAGACAAAATGGGCTTAGAAGTTGTTCTGTAACTGTATTCTTGTGTATTCTAGCTATTTTAAGAGATAGTTCACCTTTTAAAGCTGAACAGCTTTTCCAATATGTTTTCTTTCCTTGCGGTCTCACTGATATTTGAGCTGCTCTTTTCTTCAGGAACACTTGGGTTTTTTTAATTCTACTTTCATAGTTCCCACCTTCGAACAGCAACAAAGTAGGACTTAGAGCAGCCATTCTGAGAATTATATAAAAAATATTTCATTCAAAACTATAAGAGAGCAGAATAGACTATTTCAGTTGCAAGGGACCTACAGTGATCATCTAGTCTGATTGACTGAGTAATTCAGGGCTGACCAAAAGTTAAAGCATGTTGTTAAGGACATTGTTCATACGCCTCATTAACAAGGACAGGCGTGGGACATTGACCTCTCTATAATGTGTGTTCTGGTGTCTGACCACTCTCTCGTTAAAGAAATGCCTCTTAATGTCCAGTCTAAACCTCCCTGGCACAGCTTTGAGCCATTCCCATGCATCCTATCACTAGGTACCAGGGAGAAGAGATCAGCACTTCCCTTTCTACTTCCCCTCCTCAAGAAGCTGTGGAGAGCTATGAGGTTGCCTCTCAATCTTCTTTTTTCCAAACCAGACAAGCTCAGAGTCCTGAGTTGCTCCTCCCAAGCCATCCCTTCCAGCCCTTTCACCTGCTTTGTTGCCCTCTTCTGGACACATTCGAGGACCTTCACATTTTTCTTAAATTGTGGGGCCCAGAACTGCACACAGTGCTCAAGGTAGGGCCACACCAATGCTGGATACAGTGGGATGATCACCTCTTTTGACCAACTGGTTATGCAGTGTTTGATGCCTTCCAGGATGCAGTTTGGCTGCCAGATGACCATTTGTCTTCCATCTGTGTTATGACATTGCCATGCTAGATGTAGTGAAAAAAATACATATTTCTGTTGATCTGTTCATAAATTTGCGTTTCTTTCCACGAGTTCTGAGAAAGCTGGCAGATGTTATTGCTAGGCCGTTCTCCATCATCTTTCATCTTTGAGAGGTCATGGAGAACAGGAGAGGTGTCTGAGGACTGGAGGAAGCCCAGTGTCTCTTCAGTCTTCAAAAAGGGCAAGAAGGAGGACCCAGGGAACTACAGGGCAGTTAATCTCACCTCTGTCCCCGGTAAGGCATTGGGACAAATCGTTCTGGATGTCATCTCAGAACATGTGAAACCAAAGAATGTCACTGGGAGTTGTCGGCATGCATTCACCAAAGGGAAATCATGCTTGACCAATCTGATTGCCTTTTATGACATTGTAACTGGCTGCCTAGATGAGGGGAGGGCAGTGGATGTTACCTACCTTGACTTCAGCAAGGCTTTTGTCACTGCCTCCCATAACATCCTCATTAGGAAACTCAGGAAGTGTGGGCTTGATGAGTGGACAGGGAGGTGGATTGAGAGCTGGCTGTGTGACAGATCTCAGAGGGTGGTGATCAATGGATCAGGGTCGAGTTGCAGGCCTGTTAACTAGTGGTGTTCCCCAGGGGTCAGTACTTGGTCCGGTCTTGTTCAATGTGTTCATCAATGACCTGAACAAGGGGACAGAGTGTATTCTCAGCAAGTTCACTGATGATACCAAACTGGGAGGGGTGGCTGACACTCCAGAGAGCAGTGCTGCCATCCAGCGTGACCTGGACAGGATGGAGAGTTGGGCAGGGAGTAACCTAATAAGGTTCAACAAGGGCAAGTGTAGCATCCTGCACCTGGGGAGGAAGAACCCTATATACCAATATAGGTTAAGGGTACATCTGCTGGAAAGCAATTCTGAGGAGAAGGATCTGGGAGTCCTGGTAGATAGTAAGTTATCCATGAGCCAGCAGTGTTCCCTTGCTGCCAGGAAGGCCAATGGAATCCTGGGTTGCATAAAGAAGAGTGTGGCCAGTAGGTCTAGAGAGGTCATGCTCTCCCTCTACTCTGCCCTGGTGAGGCCACAGCTGGAATACTGCATCTAGTTCTGGGCTCCACAGTTCAAGAGAGACAGGGAACTACTGGAGAGAGTCCAGCAGAGGGCAATGAGGGTGATTGGGGGTTTGGAGCCTTTCTTATGAGGAAAGGTTGAGAGAGCTGGGACTCTTTAGCCTGGAGAAGAGAAGGCTGAGGGGAAGACCTCATTAATGCCTTTAAGCATCTAAAGGGTGGGTGCAAGGAGGATGGAGCCAGACTCTTTTCAGTAGTTCCCAGTGACAGGACAAGGGGCATTGAGCACAAGCTGGAACACACGAAGTTCCATTTAAATATAAGGAAAAACTTCTTTAGTGTGAGGGTGACAGAGCACTGGAACAGGCTGCCCAGGTTTTAGAGTCTCCTTCTCTGGAGATATTCAAGACCTGCCTGGATGCAGTCCTGAGTAATGTGCTCTAAGGGATCCTGCTTTAGCAGGAGAGTTGGACTAGATGATCTCTAGAGGTCTCTGACAATTCTGTGATTCTGTGATTTCATGTTTATACGGTTGACATACAATCACTGAGTGGTTTGGGTTGAAAGGAACCTTTAACAATAATGTAGTTTGGACCCTGATGTAACAGTTCTGTTAACAATTGTAACTTGTATCATGCAGTTTCTTGCCTTTTTCTTTTATGATGAATCAAAACAGAAGGTGTAGTAATTGTAGCTGGTGTAATCACATAAATGTTAGCATGTGGTGTTTCGCATTTTGAAACATGAGCA